CCTACAGCGACATTGTTACTGTACTGTATTTTAGTACTTTCTTTTGGAAGCATGGCACAGTAACCACCCGTATTGTGCTGTACACATGGTGCACAGTTATTTTTAGCAGCTACTTCACCATACCGCCATGCTATAACAGGGGGAGTGCGCTGCTATGACAAAGTAGCTGCTGGTTATGTGTAGACACCCGTGAATGCTACATCACCATAGCACATTGCTACAGTGATGTAGCATCACGTGTAGATGTGCCCGTAATATACTAAGTTTACTTTTTAGGCTGTGATAAAGGCTGCCGGCTACAGACTTTAACAACTTGAGCAACAACCCCATCAGGTATTGCAAAAGAAAAGGACTAATTATACATTTGTATTCTAGCAAATGCACATACATATTATTTGGCAACACCAATCTCTTTGTGCCCTGATTTCCTTTGCAAGACTCTGGTAAGGTGTTCCTTTGAATTTTGGTAATGCTTTGGATGGGGTTACTACATTTCCAGTGCCAAAAAAGAGGACACCTGCCACGCAAGGGGGGAGGGGGTATATGATTGTGGGGGGCAGTGATGTGCCAGTGCCCTGCCCACCCTGTTGCCCCTCGATCCTAAGCCACAGCCCTGTCCCCAGTGCCCCTCACTCCTGACCCTCAACCCCACCCTGCTCTCTCCAGTCCTGCAGCGTCTCACAGAGCCCTGCCCCTGCAAGCAAGGACACCAGTCCTGGTGCCACCAGTCAGGCCACGCAGCTCCCTGCTGCCCCTGAAGGGCCCCCTCACCCCATCCCCTGCTGGAGGGGCAGGCATATCCGTCCCGCCTCCACTGCCCTGGTGCAGCCCCAGTGCTGGACAGTAAAAACTTCAAAGCTGACCAATATCCTGGACATTTGATCATATTAAACGCCCCCCCCGATGAAGATTGGAAGATCCAGAAGTATAATGTGTCCGGGAAAATCTGGACATATGGTAACCCGAGCTTTGGACAAGATTCTTCACTTAAAAAATGATTGTTACTTTAACTCAAGACTAATTTAAACTAGAAACTTTTGTGCTAGTTTAGCTAAAACTGGGTGTGTCTACAGGAGACATTTACTGTGAAGCACACTGAGCTAGGGTGGAGCAGCTATGTGGCTGGCAGGCCCCTTGCCAGCTGGGATTGCTCTGACCTAGTCATGTTGCTGTGGTCCCTGCTGTATGATTAAACACAGCGTCCGGAAGCAATAAACTCTGGTGTAATATGTGCCAGGGTTTATTGCTGCACATTAATTGCACATATTCATTACACTATTACAGAAATTGCTTTAGTTAAATGAGTGCCATTTTCTCAGGTTGACAAGTCCTAGGGCACTGGATTTGGTGACTCAGGGACCAGGGACCCCAATGCTTTCTCATCTCTGCTCCTTTGTGACTTTGGGTAAGTCACTGCACTTCCCTGTGCTTTTGTGTTCTTTGACACCTGCCTGTGTTGTTTAACTTGTAAGATGTTCAGGCCAATGATGTTTTCTCATCATATGGTGTCCAAATCTCCTGTAGGGCCTGGAGATGTTGCCATAAAGCTGATATTAATATTTGTATTGCATGTTGACTGAGTAAAGGAGAAGAAAACTATCCCAATGGTGAGTACCTCTAGCTCTCTATGTAACAGGCTAATCCAAATGCTCTGTGAAATTCATTACATTTGAGGGGATGTTGAATCATACCTACTAGGTGGAATGAGTATCAACCCAAAGTAACTATAAAAGGTGCAGTGTCCTTTAGTTTATTGTTATTCCAGAATATAAAATAGTTATCTTTGGGCCCCTGCCACATGTTACACTTCAGATGCGATTAATTACCACTTAAGCTCTAACTCATCCACATGTTAAAGCAATGAATGATGTCAAAAAAAAAGAAATAACCCACAAAATTATTCCTCAAAAAATGTGTAATAACTGTGAGGTGGCTGGTTTCTATCACATCATTAATTGCACGTGTGGTCAAGTATGCCCTTGTGGTTGGGATCCCCACCAGCTGATGGGGCTCCCAGCTATAAGGGACACATGCGCTCCTGTGGCTGAGAGCCCAGCTCAGCTGACAGGATTCCCAGCTATGGGAGTTTGCTACTTGCTGGTGCATGGGGAGCCCATGTGTCATGGCAGGAAGTGCAATTGTATGGATTATACATTAGATACCATTGCATCTTTACCTGTATGTCAGGCACAGGCCTTGGAAAATTACATTAAAGACTGTAGTTTGACAGTGCTGCAAAATTAAAACCATGACCTAAAGTAAATAGTTAAAGAGAGGCAAAGATATCTGTGAGTAACGTCTTTTACTGGACTGATTACTTGGTTGGGAGAGATTTAGACAAGCTTTTTGGAATATGGGAACCTTCTTAAGATACCAGTTAAAAGAGTTAAATAATTATTAAATAATTAAAGTGTTTTTGAAGTTGATCCATAAAGGATTCATGTATGGGCATTTGTTTTCCATGTAAATGCTGATAATAATGATAGTTAAGGTACTGGCCTGGGATTTAACACAAAGTACAAGATCATCACTTATATCTTTTGTAACTCCCTCTGTGACCATGTGCAGGTCACATTGCTTAAGTTCTCTGTGCCTTAGATACCCCTTCTGTAAAACAGATAATATTTTTCTGTCTTAGAGGAATGCTGTGAGAATCAACTTGTTAATGTTTGCATGGTCACTGGATAGTGTAGTGGCAAGCTCCAGAGAAAAGCTTATAAAGAAAACAGTTTCTCTAACAATAAGGTCAAAATATTCAAAAGGTCTACACAGCAGTAATCTTATTAGGATGTTCAACTAAATAAAAAGGAAACCCTCATTAAAGTGGTCAGTGCATCGCATAAGAGTTAAAGTGAATTCTACTCTGCAGACTGAAAGCACAGGGGAATAACAAGTTCACCATCTGTACAGTTGTAGTCACTTGTTCTGACACAAGGCCTCTTTTGGACTGGCTTTCTGTTGCTACAGTTGTATCTTATCTACGGTGACTACACGTATAAAACTAAGGGCACTGTTCATAGTAGTAAATGAGAGAGAGAATATTTGTTTGTTGTGGAGTCATGATAACGGAGCAGGGTGTTTTTGTCTCATAATTGATATGATGAATATTTTATAAATCACTTTGTAAATCACTCATTTTGCTTTTTAGCATGCATAGCTCCTTATAGTTAATAGAAATTCACAGATTCATCAAATCTCCTTATAGTCAATAGAAATGCTTATTTCATTATCAGCTCAATCTGATTAGGCCCTAAATACCTTATTGTTGAATACACAATTACTCAGCTGAATTTAAACTGGTACTTTCTCAGTTAATTTAGCACATGCAGTCCTTTTGAATATGATCTTACTCAGACAGGTTCACCAGAGCAGGGTGTGGTAGTACTGCTTTGGTCAGCTCTGACTTGGCAACCATAAAAACCTGCCTGTCTAAAGTCCTTCAGGTTGCTACATCATAGTACTTTTAACTCTAGTACTTTTAACTCATAGTACTTTTACTCTAGTACCCTAGACCCACTATGGGAACACTGGACTTGCTCAGATGCTTGGAATCTTCTCTCTAGAAACTGACTTTTTAGATGGTGGACCTATATTTTTTAGACCTTTATTAAGATGATGATAAAAGTGATGACAATGACAAAGCAGTTTCTTAATGTGATCACAATACTGAACATTTGCATTCAAGTTGTTAATCCACCCAGAATTCCAAGACGTGCCCCCACTCCAGTGGAACCCATATAGCAGGTGATGTAGGCAGCCTCTTTTGAGATCACCCCAAAGTGGTCAAACATGTAAGTGCTATACTCTAGCCTATTCTAATTACCAATTTCTAATAATGGAATTTATTTGCCAGTCAAACGAATGCTTGCTTAGGACAGGCCATCCTGTACATATGGATGTAAAAAGATATGTACTATAATTTATATTCCATAACATTCTAGCGCATAAAAGAAAACAAATTAAAAACCCAATACTACACTGCTTTGCTTTTTATCTTACTAGGCTCTGAGACAATCACCTTTCAAATAGTAATGATTCAGCTCTTGCAATCTTAAACCCACCCTCCTAGCCAGAGGCACAAATACTTAATCTACGTGCAAATATTTTAAGGACTTAGGAGGTCTATGCCAGAGAGGGAGTAAAGATCAGACACATTTTTATGCAGCTCCTGAATGTACAGCTATTAGCAATATGGATGAGTACAAATTATACCTATAAATTGTGCTGAATAAAATTAAATAGGCTTCAGTTCTTCAGGAGATGGGACAGTGGGGTGGAAAGCAGTGCTTCAGTCACTGTTATATCTGTAGTCTGAGTTTTATTCTACGGAGGTGTCACCATTCACCAATAGACTTAGATCAGTAAGTAACAGAGCTCAACATTGCTGACCCATAGGTTTGGAAAACAAAACCAACTTCCCCCTCAAAAAATCACTCTTTTGCTGGACACTTGCATTGTTTTCTAAAGCACAGAGGGCTGGGCCAAGCTTCAAAGGATTTTATAGGCGTGTTTTCCATTTTTGGAGGAATTGTTGGATTGTGTCTTGGATGAAATTCTCCCCAGTCCCACACTGACTTTAATGGTGCTTTTTGTTTTTTAAGATCTCTGTTATGATGATGATAAAGGTGATGACACTGAAAATGTGACTGCATACTGAACCATGCCCAGGATTCCATGGGTATGGTTCTCCCGTGATCCCATGGGGAAATCCTTATTATTTCAATATGACTGTTTCCAATAATATGTTTTGCATAACTGGCCCTGTATACCTTTAATTTTTGACTGAGATTTGATTCTGTTGAGTACGTCCTGGGAGGGGTTGTAGGATTTTCTCAATAAGGTTGTTGTTACTGTGTTACTGTGCTGCATTGTCCTTTGAGTTCAGTTTCATATAAATCAGATTACCAAAATATGACCTATGTGCATGCCTGAAAACAGGACTATCCCCTAGGTCTAAAGTGATGCAGAGTTCAAAAACATCTATAAGACTGGGAGCTTACCTCAGGCATCCTGTGGCATTGTAGAAGATATCAGGGTCAGATAAGACACCTGACTTGGGGTAATCTCTATCTGGCCAGCCAGAGTAGGGGATGAGAACTGTCTCAGTCAGTTGCTGCAGGGCATCTCTCATCAGCATGGTTTTCAGCTGGTCATTGGAGGACATGTTCCACAGCAAACCTACAACATCCAAAAGAAATCAGAAAGGCAACATGACTTGCTTATGGCTAATGCAAGGCTAATCCAAAACACACTGAAAAATGGATGATTTGCATGTGCTTTAAGGGGCTTTGGATCAGAGATGAAAATTTTATAAACTTTAAAAAGTTAGTTCCTGCACTCCTTGATTAGACCTTCCAGCATCAAAATGAAGAAACCATTATTGCTAACTTCCAGTGCAAGCTGAGTGCTGTGGGTGGAGGAGAAAAAGCATGTCTTGATCTACAGTGTTATACTGCATGTGTTCAGATTTAAAACAAGTTTTAATTAAGCAACTCAGGTGGTTAATAGTTCATTTAGTCTTGGTTCACAGAACAGGTGTTGCTGCTGTTCTTTCTGTACAGACAAATGGTTGTTTTTAAATCCTTTGTTAGTACTCTCAGAATGACAAGCTAGCTAATGAGATAACTTTTAAATTGAAGTCCATGGGTTCTTTAACTGCAACATTAATTTTTATAATAAAAATATTCCATGAGGTCTTAAATGTGTACAGCAGATCTCTTCCTTTCTTACAGGGATGAGCAGTAAATAGAGAGGAGGTCTAAAATCCAGAGGTGAAGGCTGCTTCTGAGAATCAAGGAGCAAAGGATTCCATCTGGCTCATACTACTCTGACCAGCATGGGGAGGCAGAGCAGTACTCACTGGCTTACAATGCGAGGAAGAGACCGTGTGCTTCTGACCTTACAGAGAGAGAAGTAATTAGCTGTTGGTCTGAACTCAGGAAGAAGGCAGAGCAGAGTTGCACCTTATAGACCAACTCTGACTTAGTCTATAAAGCGTAAATCTACTTCACCTTCTGCCTTTTCAGGGATGGCAATGGGTTTTCTTTTTTATTTACTTTTCCTTCTCTCTTGCTATCTTCATCCTAAAATAGCAAATGGTGAGCACATTAAAAAACCCAGTCAGTTGAGTGATATGACTAAACTAATGGAATGAGTGATACCGCTCTTCTTCTGCCTTGGGGGGAAGGCAGTGATAGTAGAATGTCAAAGGGACATAAAAACAGCAAAAAAAAAAGGACCTGAACCACATGGTGAGATTTTATGGCCCAGAAAGGGTCAAGGGATAGGCATTTCAGTATCTAGCAGAGGCAGGGCATGAAAACAGGACCTATTGTTTTATGTACTTCTGCCTGAGGGAAATGGGGGAAAAAGGTGAGAACCTGCTTTGCTTTGTTTTCTGTAGACAGATTCGCCCTCTAGATTCACACAGTCGACAGAGATTCTCCCTCTGGAATTTCTGCATATGCATTCCTTCTCTCGGCTCCCCACAACACAGCACTTCAAAGCTACTGATAAACGTATCCTCCTCGCCCCCCCTGCACTGAGGAAGTATTCTTTCTATTTTCCGGATAGACAACTGAGGCAAAGAATGACCTGATTAGATTCGCCCAAGGCAAGGCGACGAAACCCAGATCTGTTTCTACCCAGTCCAGGGCCCTAAACCCACTCCAAAATTATGCTGGCAATCTGTGGAATTCACTCATTTTCCTGACTACCAAAATCACAAATATTCACTCTTTTTTATTCATTGGGTTTATATGCCCTCCTTCCCAAAAAAAACCCAAAACAAAACCCTCACAGTAAGAAGACCAAATCACTTATTAAATCAGATAAAATATTAAACATTATATATGAACAAAAAACTTCCAAACACTACACCAAGTCAATCTTGCTCGCTAAATTCCTGCCTCAATAAAGCCTTGAGGCGCTTCTAGGAGATTCCCAGATTGTAAGGCCAGAAGGGACCCTGGAAGATCAAGATGTCCAGGCTTGGGCTCTGGTGGATGACAAGGGGGATGGAGTACCAGAGCAAAGGAGCTACTACCAAGAACAGCCTCCCATACATTTTTTGCTGGATGAATTTGATGCGCAGATGGTACTAGCAGGAGGTTGTTTTTGGCTGACCCTAGGCACTGAGATAGGACATAAGGGAGAAAAGATAACATTTCCCAAAGTACCTCAGCTAATTGTGCATGGTTCCTGGCATGGATTCACACACTACAGGATAGGGGCAAAACTAAGTGTGAAGCTAGCTGTGCCTTCTTACACCAGCACAATTCAGGTATGAATTCACTCTTGGGGTTCACAGAGGCAGTGGTTATGCAGTCCTAGGCAGCTTAAAGTTCTGGTGGACCCTCCTTAGAAACTTCATTGGTGGGTGTTGCAATGGAGATTCCCTGAATCAGCACATTACTTGGTCTGTTTGAAATTTCACCCCCTACCTTCTTATCAGTGGCTGTAATTTTAACTAACTAATAGTTCTTTACTAAAGACTATGTTGCATAGCGTACATTGCAGACACTAAGGTGGGAGATTTCTGTTAGCAAGTTTCTTCCACGCTTAATAGGAAATATTGTTCACCCTCTGAGGAATTTAACATCTGGAATGTTATCTTCCAGCCATCTGCCTCTATGAAAGCTTTCAGATAAATGCTATGTACCGTGCACATTCACAGCCTCCAAAAGTTTGAAGAAAGGGCAATGGATTTTTTTTAACTAGTTAGGTTTTCCACTATTTTACTATAATGAATAAGGCAATGATTTTAAAGGATGTATACTTCTTCTGACAAAGGACATACACTGCTTCTCTTCACTACAAAGGCAGCTTTTGTTTCTTTTGCTATTCTGAGTTTCATGAACTCCATCTTCTAAAGGTTAGTACAGTGAAGGCAGATGTTCCTCTGATCCACTCATGGATAATGTTTCTCTTATAATATCTTGATGCAGGTCCTGTTTTAACTACAGTAATTGCCAGCAATGGAAAAAAAAACACTCATTATTTTGGGAGTAATGCCATCATCTGTGAATAATTAAATTTTATGAGGGGGAAAAAAGAGAAACAAGTACACACACACAAATCCACGCAGTTAGTAGGCAGTAAAACAAGATCTGAATTCAGAATGGTTTCACTGGACTTACATTAAACAAAATTCATATGACAATAGAATGAATATACATGGACTTGACAAAACACTGTATTAGATAAGAATGAAAAAAGTAAATGTTGAATTGTAGAGACAGCTACCTAGAATACAAGATTAAAAAATGCCAAAATATAACTTAACATGTTACCAATACTTGTACAGCGACATATTTTTACCCGTGTGAGAAATATAATTGGCTTCAGCAGGATTACAGGCATGATTAAAGTTGCCTGCATACAAACACCTTTGTAAGATGGGTCTTTTTCCTTTTAGGTACATAGCACAGTGTATTCATAGTAGTATATTTTCTTCCCCTAGATGTCTTATATGCGCAAGCTTTGTGGAGCTTCCCTGACCAGTTATAATTTGTTTCATGACAGTTCTGCCTGTTTGTACTGTAATCCTGCCTGCAGGAGGAATTTTCTTTCATTTCTTAGATTTATGTTGCATGATAACAAGATCAAGAGGTTAGACACACCCCTCCAGGCTTCCCTGGCTCCCTTTCAAAAGACTGATTTTTCTCATGCCAGAGCTCCTCTATTTTCTGTTCCCTCCAAAGCTCACTATAAAACAAACAAAAATACCATTTCTCTCAGCTCTTGCCATCTCCCATCAAGTTACACACTGCCCTATAATTCATTGGCAGCTTCCTTCCTAAAAGAATTATTAATTATTAAAGAAAAGAAAAAATGTTTAACGTGAAAGCAGAGTAACTATATATAGTTATATACTTAGTTATATAGTTAGTTATAGTTTCTATATATAAAGACAAGAAACAAAATATAGTTACT